AAGCCAGTCACAACTCATAGCCACTCCATGTGTGTCAGAGTCAAACTGGGTTTGATGGTTCTGTTTTCAATGGCTGATCTTCCAGATGTAAATCACCAGGCTTTTCTTCTGAAGTTCCACTGGGTAGACTCGAACTGACAATCTTTCGTTAGCAGTGGGGGTTGTATTAGTCCTTGGCACCAGTGGGACTCCTGGGTGTTTGGTTGATTTGTTTTTTTGTTTTTTTGACTCCTGGTTTTTTTAAGGTTCTGACTGGCATCACTTCTTAGGGGCAGAGGCTCAATTTTCCCCTCTCCACAGAGAATCCATGATGATTTTCAAGTCACCACTACAGGCGGAGCCAGGCCCTGAACTCAGAGTACTGTCTTTGTCACCCAATGTGTACTGTCAGCCGTGGCTGGGCTCACACAGGGTGAGCCTCACATGAGGTGCTATAAGGAAGCTCTGGTGACCTAGTGGCAAGAAGCTGCACTGCAATCCTGAAGGTGGCAGTTCGGATCCACCAGATGCTCTGCTGGAGAAGTAGGGGCAATCTCCTCCTGTGCCAGTCGGGTCCGATTCAACAGCACACAAGAAAAAACAAACCAAACAACAAGGAGTGCTATCAATAAATATCAGACTTTCTGAGGTGAGGCTCAAGCACCTGTAAATTCCAGCCTCCCCAGGTGATCCTTTACTGTAGCAGGGAAGAGAACCAGTGGTCAGTGGGTCTCAACCAAGTTTGGAACCAGGACATTCTGGTTTGACCTTCTGCTTAGAGATTCCACAGGCCCTACACTCCATACAGAATCAGAAGCTATATTTTAATAAGATGAGGGAGAGGGAGAGGGGGTTTGTCACCTGTGCAGAAGAGTCCCCTGAGGACCTGTAAGAACGCGCATCTACTTGCATCAGAAAACACCTGGAGACCATCTGACAGGTCCCTGCCCACCACTCATTCCTCACTGTGGGGTCAGTTCTGGCCCCGGAAGTGTGTGGAACGCATTGCTCGTGCGTCAGAACCAACTCACAGCTGCCCCTCCAGCAGGTCTTCAGAGGCTACAAATTGCACGGGAGGAGACGGCCCATGTTTGTCTCATGGAACAGCTGTCGGATTAGAAAGACCTGGGTTGAGTTGAAAGTACAACGTGGCTGCTAACCTCACGGCCAGCTGTCTGAGCCCACCTGCCGATGTGCTTCAGAAAAGAGCTGCAGCCGCAGAAACCCCACGGGATAGTCACACTCACTCCTAGAGAGTCACTGTGAGTGTGGGCTTTGCTCACGGAGCCAAAGAGAATGAAGGAAATAAGAGGCTCAGGGAAGAAACGCACCCAGCAGTTTTAACAGCCACACAAACCACAGCTTCTTCTAAATGGAAAAGAGAAGAACTAGACGGTGCCCAGATACCACTGCCAACTGTCTGACACGATAGAAGGTCCTGGATAGAACGGGAAGAAAACAGAACAAAGTTCATATTTTTTATGCAAAGCTAGACCTACTGGATTTATAGGAGCTCTGGTGGCCTAGTGGCAAGAAGCTGTGCTGCAATACACAAGGCACACGGTTCAAGGTCACCAGCTACTCCATGGAAGAAGGATGCAGTCTCCTCCCATGAGGTTAACTGCCTCTGGAAACCTGCCAAAAGGGTCAGCTATGGGTCAGTTCTGACTCTGCGGTACACAACAACAACAACAACAAGACTTACAGAAACGCTGAGATTATCAACCCAAACTACCCTCTGAAGTTGCAACTAAAGCTATTTCTGGAGGTAACTGTTCAGGCTTATGAAGTAACGTCACCCAAGAGTAACGCATGAGTAAATGATGAACTGTGAGAAGCAGTAGTAGCATCCACTTCCGAAATAGCTCACCTCTGATATAGCTTGCCTCCAGAAACTCTATGAACTTGGAGAAATGATGAAAGTCATGCAGGTTTTCAGGTCTTTCGTTCATAACAACAACATGAGACCACATGGTCAACATGTACCCTAAAGCAAAGATGAGAATGGGAGGGAAGCTAGAGCAGTGGAAAGAGAGCAAACAGGATGGAAATAATGCTGGCACACTGTGAAGTGGCATCGAATAGCTTGGAGCTATTTGTATAAAAACTGTAAAATGGGAATTTAATGTGCTGCATAAACTTTCACCTAAAACCCAATAAAATGCCATCTTAAAAATAATCCTGGACGGCTTTTTACCCAGGCTTCATGTCAGGCTTGCAGAGAAGGGAGCCCCTTAGTAATTTAAGGAAGCAGCTCACCAGGCCTTTCTTCCGCGCTGCTGGGAAGATTCCAACCACTGGCCTTTAGGTCAGTTGTCACTGCTTGTGCCCCCTCCAACCAAACGTGGAGCTGTAAAGGTAAGCCTGACTGGTGCTCCTGGTGTGCTGGAGCTGGTGCCATCCAGGTGTGCACATCTCCTCCCAGGCTGTATCCTGCCATTTGGAGCAGCTGGAAACTGGTATATGCTATGGATTAGCACACCCTCTCCCACTGACAGTTCACCATTTACCAGCGCATCTCAGATCAGCTGGGTTCTGGTGAGAATACTCGGTGATATGCAAAGAACAGCTCCTTGTCTCATCAGTCTCTTCCTGGTGCGGACAGGGCCGGCCCTGTGGCTGCCTGTAGCCCTCTCGAACACAGCGAAATGGGCGCAGCCAGGACTGAACGGCACTGCCTTGTTTTTCCAGGTCTCACAGCATTCAGCCTCTGGCAGGTACACTCTTACCACTTTATTTTTTTAACTGTGACTCGAGTGAAAAGGTAACAGAACGGGCTTTCCGCTCAGCACATCATACACCTTTTGCATTGTGACATTGACCACTGTCTCTCCAACATGACAGTATCTTCCCACTTCCTCCCTGCACTTCCTCTTGCCATTCATCCTTCTATCACTTCCTGTTCTAAGGTTATCCTGGGGCTGACTTTGATAAGGAGTGGCCACACATCCATGGTGATACCTATCAGCTTATTGATAGGCCTGTTATTTGGTTAAAAGTTGAGCCAAGAGGGCCAGTTTGGTTCCAGATCTGAAGGGTGCATAGTCCTGGGGGTCCCACTGGTCTCTGTCCTCCTCTGCCTCCCCGTAAGCCTTACCCCCTTTTTTTTTAAAAAAATGAATTTTAATTCAAAATCACTGCAGTACGCCTTACCTTTTTGGAAATCCTGAGTTCCATATTTTTCTCCCACTATCAGGTGCCCTTCTGTTGTGGGCCCCCTTCAGAATGGTCAGTAGTGGCATCAAGGAACCGTCTACATTTTCTTGTGTTAGTCCTTGGGCCAGGCTGTTCCCATGATCCTTTGGTTTTCTTCCTTCTTCTTTGCGTTGCGTGGGGGGACACATGGTAGTTTAGATGGTCCCTCAGCAGCTCGCTTGACCCCAGTCCCTACTCACCAAAGTCGGATGTTATCCTTGTGGACTGTGCCAGCTGACCGCCATGTCCGATATCATTTGTTTCTAGTGGAAAACATAATGCATTTCCGTCTCTGACAGGCTTCTGCTTTACGTATTCCATCTTTCACAGGTTTTCACAGGTTTTGCTATCCATGTGACAGTGCTCACAGAAAATATTTAAAACTTCCTGTGAGTAGAGGCTCCAGGTGTTAAAAATGCCTCCTTGCTTTGACTTATCAAAACCCAGTTAGAAACCCAGCAGGTGCCTCAGGCAGCTGACATTAATTCTCATGACAAGTGAGTAAAGGAGGCGCCTTCCAAACATCCTTCTTTGACACCTGGCATTTGTTTTATACACCAGGTATCTCCAGGAGGGGGAGAGGGAAGCCTGGCTTCATGCTGTGAAAAGAGCGGTGGCAAACTCAGGCTGGTGGAAACCCAGACTTTACAAACTCAAGTCTTCAAGGCCAAGAGTAAAAGGGATTTTCTTGGAATGACCTTTGACTGCGACCCCTTGAAGTCCATGTGTCCCCAGCAGCAGGTGCACCGCAGGTGAAGCCGGCTGGGCTCACCTCTGCTGAACACGTTCAGTCTATCTGCAGCAGGAAAGACAAAATCTGGGAAAGCTGGAATCTGTGTGAGGTGGAAAATAATACTCTTTACTATAAGGATCGAAAGTGCGGCTCTCGGGTGGATGCTGCTGTGTCAGCACGTGGGAGCCCGGGTTTGAACCCGAAATAAACTTTTGTTAATTCGGCTAAAAAAAAAAATGAAAGAAAGTGTGAGGGTTACACCCTGGAGGAGGTGGTCTGGGGTCTCGCATTCCAGCTTCACAGGTTTGTCTGTCTCCCACCCCCACCCCGGTGTCTGGTGAATGTGTCAGTCACTGTCGCTGGGGGTCAGTGAACAGGCTTGCCAGGAATGTCTGCAGCAGTGTGAGCGCTGGGAACATCCTAGAACACTGCCTTCCAGATACTCTGAGCCGTATGTAGCTCAGGCTAGATTAACACAGAGGCAAGTGCTTGGATTTAGTAGCAAAACATTAAGAGAGGATCTTCACAAAAGAACCAGGACTGGAGTTCTCACTTCTATGTGGGGAAGCCTTTTATCTATGGGGGTGGTGGTGATGGGGTTTAATCTCTCACAAACAGGGAACCTCCCAGTCTGACAGTCTTAGGAAATCAGCAAGAACAGAGCACATTCTTGCCCAGACTGGGACAGACTAGAGAAGTCTCGTCACTGACCTTGACAATGACTTCAGTGACGCAGCAAGCATTTTGAGGGAGGAGAGAAGGGGGAGTGGTGACAGATCGGGTTGGTCAAGAGCCTGGAATCTGTCACCATCTTTTAGTAAAACTTCCTCCCTTCATCCCCCACAACCTGTCAAGTACACTTCTGACCTTTCCCCGAAGGGAATAAGAAAGGACCCGAGCGTGACTCTGAAGAGGCTTTGAACCCTCGGGTGTTGGTCTGCAGGACAGTGGATCCCGAGCTGCTGCGGCCACAGAATGTGCTGGGCAGATGCTGGCAGGTTCTCCTGAAGGTTCTCGTTCCCAAAGGCCAAGCCTGTCTCCTTGTTACAGAACCTTAACTCAGTCCTGACCTTCTGCTCTCATTTCTTTGCAGTGAAATGCACAATGGAGGACGATGACGAGGTGGACGCCCCGAAGAACCCACCGCAGTAACCACCGCTGGTGTCTCTCCCAGTTGGCGTTCCAAGTACCCCACACGAGTGAAATATCCAGACATTGAAATGTCCTGCTCCTTTGTCTTTTCTTTAACAATAAAACTTGGGACAAGAGAACTTAGAATCATTTCCACACGGGAGGATTAATGGCAAACAGGCATTGTTATTGTTGTGTACTGTAGAGTCGGAACTGACCCATAGCTGACCTTCGAGGCAGTTAATCACACGGGAGGGGACTGTCCATCCTTCTCCCAAGGAGCACCTAGTGGATCTGAACCATGTGCCTTTGGGATTGCAGTGCAGCTTTTTGCCACTAGGCCACCAGAACTTCCTAAACAATATATAAAGTTTATCAGAAGAAAGTACCAAAGTCTTAATTCTTTGAGGGGGGGGGAATGTCCCAAATTTCATTCTCTAAGCCTCTGAAGGCTCCCATGATAACCATCACTCAAGTGTATAGAGAACTCTAGTTCCAGAGGGCCAGAAGCACTCCCCTCGCCCATTTCCCAGCTGCCTTTGCAGTTAACCCCCACATCTCCAAGCTGAGCTTCCCCTTTACCTACTCGCTACTGTTTTCCATTTTACTTAAAAAGGACATCATTGTCTGTGATCATTTCCAAAGGAGACAGTCTCTTGGCTTTTACTGCAAAACCAACAGAGATGAGACATTCATACCCAGATAATAGCAGAGAGAGGAGCTTTGTTGTTTTGGCCTCACAGTGTTATACAAAGTCCTTGGTTTTCTGGGTGAAGTGAATTGATCGCCCTCATTTGTTCTGTGGGCTTCTTGAACCAGAATTCTCCAGCTCCAAATGCCAGCTTCGGCCTGAGGGCAGACTTAGACACCTAAGTCCTTGCTTTAGATTGCTTTGACAAGCTACCACACGTCTTTAAGTAAATAGGAAAGCCTTTATTTGTGTGTTAAGAACAGCATTTTGAAAATAAAACCTATCTGCCCATGCTTTACAACCTTTAAAATTTGTAATATTTATATATAGTCATTTATGATACACACTGATTGTCATGAAGTCTCTTTCACCATTTGTTTTCATAAGTATGCAACAGTCAGCCAGGGAGGGAAGAAACATTATAAAACACACATTAATACATTTAATAAATATATATTATCTATCAAAAAAGGAGCCGTAGCTCTTTATATCAATTAATAAAAGCACCTGCCAAGAGCGTCTGTAAGCTGGTATCACCACAACATCATTGGGTTATAAAAGCCACAGTGCTTCCTTTTTTCCGCTTGGGCCTGAGACTTTCGCCTCCGCCTGGGCCAGACGAGAAGCTGCTGACCGAAAGCCACACACCAGTGTCACCCTTGTTCAGGGACCCTGCAGGAATCGGTGATGGAAGCCCTGCATTTCCACCTTCGACCACCAGATCTTAAAACCCAGAGCTGCTTAAGACATGCAGAATTTGCCTGTTTGTAAGTTCTCAGAGTCGATTCACTCCCCACCCCACCCTCCCGTCTCCAACAAAGATATGGGGAGGGAACGCCGTTTTTCCATGCAAAGGAGGAGCAGAGTGGCTGTTATAGTCCCAAAGTGATTTTAATAAGCAGACACAGTAAGATTTGTGCTTACAATTAGGTATTTTGATCACAGATGCTCACCTTCTAATCATTTTGCCCCAAACAAGTCTTGTTTATAGAAAGGTCTTGAACAGAGGTGCCATTTAATTCGGTACTGAAGCTGCTCAGAGGAGGGGGCAACTGGTGGCCACAGTCTCTTGGCACAGATGGCTCTCTGCACCCATCAGGTGAAGTCACAGGAAGAGTGACCGTTCTCTTCCTACTCCCCACCTCCGCCCCCACTGTGAGGCCTCAGGGCCCACTCTCAGCCAAAGACCAACATAAAGCAGAACTCAGGAGTGCACACCAGAGATTTAAAAATAAAATTGAAAGAGAAAAGGTTTTGTTAAGTGAGTTTCCCGTGGCTGGAAGCTGGCTCAATTTTATGGTGGTGAAAGGTTACTCCCCTCTTGATGCCACCCGGGCTGTGTGCTCACCTTGTACGTTTGGACAACAAAGAACTGAGAAAGTGACTGTGCGGAGGGCTCCCTCTGGACAAGGGGGTGGCCTGCAGACCCGGTCACTGGCGGATCAGAGAGTTCCAAAGGACTCCAGGCAGCGGGGGTGAACCGCCATGTCCTGGCACGAGAATGCGGAAGGCTGTGGTTTGCAGCGGCTTGGACCCAGGTGCTCGGGGCTCGCTCTGTCCAGAATACCGGGTCTGCATGCCATGCAGCTGCCCCCCTACTCCACCCAGCCCCGGTCCTAGCGTCCTGCCCGCCCACCCCTTCCCCAGTACCGGGAGTTTTCAGTCAGAGGACTGAAATCTGGTTTTCTACAAGCAAGCGCATGCTCTGGGCAGGGGGTGTGGGTGGAGGGTGCTGCTGTAAGTCGGGGAGGGGTGGCGTCTGGTGCCATGCAGCTCTTTCTCCATGCGTGAACATGAAGGGAATGTGCGAGCTGGAATCACACTGGCAGGAGGGGGCTCCAGCGGGCATGGCCAGGATGGCCCCACATGCCCTGTGAGGATGGGGACAGGGAGGAGGGGAGGGGACACAGCAGAGACTAAAATCTCAAGAAAAATCAGAAGGTTTATTAAAACACTCAGATCCGACGGACTAGCTCATAGAGAGGTCATTTCCCCTCAGAACAGTAACCCTTCTCATCTTCTTTAAAGGTTAAAGGCTTATGGGTTGTTTTACAGAAAAGTAAAAAAAAAAAAAAAAGCAATAGTGATTAGACTATATGCGAAGGCCCCGCCCTCCTCGCTGCATCCCACGTGCTCAGGTTGCAAACCCTTGCCTATTGCTTCGCTGGTAATTATGCTGGCCAAACAGAACATGGGGCTTTAATGGCCGAGATGTTGGCAATGCCACAGAACGAAGGAATGATTTGCTCAGGACAGATGGACACCATGACAGAGCAATGGGCTTGGAGAACCATTTTCATGGAAACGGCAGAAAACCAAGCTAAAAATGTCCTCACACACCCTCCAAATGCAGCAGGAAAAGTCCCAAGCTGTTTACCCCATCCTGGCTGGAACTCCCAGCAGACCAGTTTAATGGAAGGAGAAATTCACTGCAGGCGGGCTGGCTTCCCTGGGTGGGAGTCTTCACCATTTGTAATGAACATGGAAATAAAATTGGGAAAGGACTTGGAGAAGCCCCGGGAGGTGCAGGAAGGGGGAGAGAGGGTCAAGGGAAGACAGGACTGCATGGAGTGCTCTTAGGCTGCAGCCCCATACCTGGCTCTGCGGTCTCCCAGGGAGGGGACTCCTTTCTCACCACAGGCGCTACTGAGGCCCCTTGGAGAAATAGTGGTTGGGTCACCGTTTTCTAACTTATCTTTGGCACATGCTCAAGCCCTTCCGCCAACAGTGGCTCTAAAGCTCCCTCCACAGTGGAGTTGGGCCTCATCTCTAACTCATATCCCCCACAGCTGCTCCTGACACCCCCTGAAGTGTGCAAACCACAGGGAGCTGGTCTCACCAGCACTGCTCGAGCAAGGGGCCGACATCTCTGGGGAGGGGGGGGCACTTGCTGAGGGTGGTGGTCCCCACCACCCCTCATGCCACCCGCATCCGCCTGGTCCCCCTTCTGTGAATTTGGCTCTGTCCCACCCTCCCTCCTCCCCACAGCAGTTGGAATCATCTTCCCAGCCACACTCTCGAGTGAGCCTAATACTATTTGCAGTTAGCTTCGCTTTAGTTTGCAGGGGTTGAGGTTGGTCTGGTATTTACGTGGTTGTGTGGCGGGCCTGGGGAGGGCAGTTGGTGTTAGCTTTTCAGTTCAGCAGTGTTCACATTTACATGAAATGCCCTGAAGCCAAGATTTTTTTTAAAAAAACAACAAAAAAACAACCAAAAAAATATCTCCTGGCTGGGAGGCGGCCTGGGTCGGCTACTGTTAAGTGATTTCTCCCTCGAGAAAGACACGGCCAGGGAATAAAATCGGTAAGAGAGATTCTTATTCTCTGGAACGTAAAGCCTTTCACCAGAGGTGTCTTCCCGTGTAACTTGGCGGAGCGGTTGGAATCTGAAAACAAGGATAAAACACTGAGAACTGAGAACTCCATACGTGACAGAGTCAACACAGAACGCGACTGGTGAACAACACAGCAGGGGTACGTGAACTCTCACTTCTACCTAGATGGTCTGAACGGACACCCCCAAAGTCCAGCAGCTACTGTGTGCTGCTTGCTGGTCCTGAGCTCAAGAAACTAGCTCCCAATTTTCTAGCATCTTTCACCCCTAATCAATCTCACCCGGGCAAAAGATGGACAGTCTCCCCTCGTGTGACTGACTGCTTCTGAAAACCCCACTGGAAGGTCTGGCTAGGAGTCGGTTCCGATTCACCTGGTACTTTACAAAATTCTCTTAGCCTTTCCTGACCCAGAAACACACTTCTCTTTCTAACTCCAGGCTGGGGTGTTTGTGTTCTTTTTTTTTGGGGGGGGGGTTACAGGGTACTATAAGGGGCTGGGCTTGGGAGCACTTGGTGGCCAAATGCTTGTGATCAGGGGTTCAGCTTTTCTTGGCACTATTGATGATAAACCGCCCTGCAGGCGGGCAGAGAACGGGGCTCGGTGAGTCTTGTCTCCCGACCGTAATCAATGCCTTTAATCGGGCCATGGAAAAGGCCAAGAAAACCTGAGCGCCCGCGTCAGATGAGGCCCGCTCTCTGGAGACCCAGCCCGCCCCTCACGGAGATGCTCGGGCTGAGTTATGGAACTGGTACATGACGGCGAGAATGGAAACTCGATTGGCGCGTGCAAATGGCCTCATGAGGCGTTTCTGAAAAGAAGCGGGTAGCTATGCCTGCAAGGTAAACGTGGGGATGAGAGAGCGTGGTTTGGGGATCTAAAAAAACAAAATGATGTCACTTCACGGAGGCAAAACAAATGATGACAGCTGTGCTTATAAGGTCTGTTTGGCATCAGATAGTAACTGCCCGCTCTGGGCGTGTTGGGTCCCATAGAGGGAGGCTCTGGTGGCCTGGTGGGGAGGGAGCGGTGCTGCCAACCCAAGGGCCTCATCTCTGGTGGTTCGAATCTACCTACTGCTTTGCTGGGGAAAACTGGGCAACCTTCTCCTGTGTAATTTACAGCCTCTGAAAACCCACTGGAGGGTCAGCTGTGAGTCCGGCTCGCTGACCATGAGTGTTTGGAATATTCTCACAAGGAAATGGTAACTCAGTGTCTCTGGAAGAGTGGGGAGCTTGGTACCCTGCTAGGGCTACACAGATTTGAGGAGCAGTAAAGAAGGGGACCTAAAGGGATTGGGTGTCAGCAAAATCTACCAGGGCCTCATAATTCTGGGCTTTTTCTCAGCGTCACCCCCCCACCCAAGGGAGAGAGTGGGGCAATGTGCAGTGAAAATCCAGGCCAGCAGCCCTCTGGAGCGAGGGCTCTGAGAGACGCCTGCACGTGGCTGCTGAGAGGTGGATCTGAACATGCATGTTGGACGGGGATCCCGTAAGCGTGGCATGCACTCCAGCTGCAGGGGCAGGGACGGGAGCCACTGTCCCCACCGGGAGCCGCTGTCCCCACACCGGCCTCCTGCCAGAACGTCACATCTTGATACTTACAGTCCCGCCATTGAGCACAACGGCCATCTCAGTGGGCTGGTACACGTTGCTTCTGAACGGGGCGCTGGGGCGGCTACCAAGGCTGCCATTGCGAAATCCTGCCGTCCGCAGAGAGTGACACAACACAACATGAAAAAAGAGAGTTTTTTCCCTGCTCTTTGCTTTCCCTGTATCGATGCCACTCTCTGGGCACCCACCCCAACTCACCCCTCCCCTCTGTCACAAGCCTGACTCAAAACAAAAGTCACAAAGGGGCTTTGTTCTCCGGCTCTCTGCAGGGCGGGGGAATTTGTGGCGTTTGATGATTAGTTTGGGGATCATGACACTTTTGGGGGAGGGGAGGCCCAGGGTGAAGATGCCCCCTCAGGCCCATGAGACAAAGCCTCTCCCTGCCTGGACAGATGCCACCTCATCTAAACACCAGGCCCTTCTGGAGACACAGAAATGGGGGAACACCAAGAACAGGGATATGAGGGACACAATAGGGTTGTCCTCAATGCAAACTGACAGGGCCAGGACAAAGGGATGCCCTAAAACAGCTGAAGGGAAGTTGGGAGCAAAGGTGGTAAACCAGCAAGCTTGGCGTCTGGGAGGTGGACACACCGCAGCCTCTCCCTCGGAGCTGTGCTTTTGAGAGGTTTCAATTTCCTTTTTTCATAAGGAGAAGCCGAATCAAAGCACAAGGCCGTCTCAGTTACGAGATGGCATCGCCACCATCTTCCCTCTCATCTTGCTTTGCCGAGCAAAGCCTCGACAAGTCGTCTCCAAAAGGGAGTTCGCTTTCTGGCTTAAAAAGAAGCAGAAGAGCTTAAGTTTTCACGCAGACTTGGGGCTGGGACCAAAATCCTCTAATGAGGTGGTTGTTGTGTGCTGTCGAGTGGGAACTGACCCATAGCTGACCCTCCAGTGGGTTTTTCAGAGGTGGCAAATCACAGGGGAAGAGACTGCCTATTCTTCTCCCATGAAGCAGCCGGTGGATTCAAACCATGTGCCTTTGGGCTTCCAGAGCAAGTTCTTACCACTAGGCCACCAAGAGATCCTGTAAAAATCCTCTGATAGTGCATTGTAATCTTTATACAGGTCCATTCAGAAAAGTACATTATTATGTTTAGTAATTCCAAATGTTCTTAACATGATGGGCCACTCTCAATAATTCCATCTGACATGCGACACAAAGAGGCTCAAACCACACAGCCAGGAAATGTCAAAACCAGCATTTGAGCCCCAGCGAAGAATCTGTGCTCTAATTCATCCCAACAGACCCACTCTCAGTATTATGCTTTCTCACCAGCACATGTAGTTACTCAGAAGGAATCTGAATGTCAGTGACAGTGGGAAGAGCTCACTCAACCCCTGCGTGGAGTAAATGGTTACCCTTGCTAGCTAGACACCAAACCCCCAGAAGGCTAGAGATAGATTCACGTCCCCCTGGAAGAAAGGCCGAGTGATCTATTAACTACAAATCATCCACTGAAGACCCCACGTGGTGGGAACCCTAACTGCTGTGCAGATCTTCACTGAAATTGCCAAAAAAGCATTACTGAAAACATACCAATAATATAAGCAAACTCCTATGGAGCGCAGTTAGCTCTGACACACATTGGAGTTGTAATGAGTTACAACTGACTCAAACAGGAAGTGGCAGCTAGACCAAAAACAGTGGGATGATAGGCAATGCATGTTCCAAGACCTACTGATGAAAACCTTGACCTCTTAGCGTCTCTAAATCTTCAAGCAGCAAGTCCTGCACCATCCTGAGTAGAGAGACGTCCTTCCCAGGCAACAGAGTGGGAAGCCAGAGTAACCTGTGGATGCGGGCTCTCCTCAGCTCCTAGCCTAGACCTGCTCTAGAGAAGGGAAGACACACAGAGGCCAAAGCACCTGCTCTCCAGAGACAAAAAAAAGAGTCTGCCATGGGGCCCCTCTCTGTAGTGTCTTTGTGTTTCTCTTCTTGTGAACAGTCCTCCTCTTCAGTTCTCAGCTATGGCTAGGACTGTCCACTTTTGGGGGCGGGGAGAGGAGCATCATTTAGGCCTGGCCAATCAGGGCATCATACCTTCCTGATTGGCTCTGGGGAAGGGCAACTGTGTCCAAGCAGAGGTAGTCCTGGGCTTTTTTGCTAGTACATCCTGGGAAGTAGACCTCTTCACTCTTGGGACTCAATGCAAAAGCTTGGAGCTGTGTTTCTGCGATGCCAACAGAGTCAAGAGGTGCAGAGAAATCTTATCTTGTCATCCCTGGAGCCTCCTGATAGATAAATTCCTGAAATTCATGCTTCAGTATATTCTTTTTTCTTCCTCTGCTCAAGGCAGTTCACATTGGATTTTGTATTACTTGCAAATTCGAAAAGCCAGAGGGACACACCCTGAGCTGACCTGGGTTAGCTTTGAAAAGCTGCACAGGAATCACACAGTCCAGGGGTCGCCTGTCTGGCTAGGTTGGCCCTGTTCGAGACGCCAACACAGAGCCTTCCTCTGGGAAGCAGAAGACCAGGGTTTAAACAGCCTGTGGCCCCAGTGAGATCTCGGAACCCGAATTCTCTGGTTCTTTCGAAAGATGAATGTCTAACATGCCTCGTTAACACATTCCAAGATGTGATCTGAGGTGTGACATCCGTCGTATATTTTAATCTCTTATCACCTACCTCATGCCTTGTTGGTGCTTAGTAATAAGCAGAAGGCTGGTGAAGTCCTGTTCCCTGTGGGGGTCTCACTGGGGGGGAAGGAGAGGGAGGGGGAGGAAATAGCATGGAGGCCACTATAGGTCAGCCCTCTCGTGAGGATACTGGGAAACTCTCCAGGGAGACAGCCTGAGAGGCTGGCAGGAGATATGGGGCCAAGCTAGTACCCACTCTGAGACCTACAGACCCCAAGGAGAGACTTCTCTTGGGGCCTTGTTCCTTAAAAACAAGCTGGCTGAGGTCAGCAACAATGAAGCCGACAGCTGTTCTTTCTGTGACTACGGGGCTTGGCAGAGCAAGGGTTTCCTGAACAAAGGTAGTCCTAGGCTGCCTCAAGTCAGAGTCCTTGGCCTTGCTTCCTGCCTGCTTTGCCTGGTCCCATGTGAATTTTGGTGCCGAAGCAATTTTTCTGTCTTTGCTATTGTCAGAAGTGGAGACACATGTTGTTGTTAAGTGTCGTTGAGTCAAGTATGCCTCATATTGAACAAAAAGATCTGAACCCTGCTCTATCCTGCACCATCCTCACACTTCCTGACACACTCAAGCCCACTGCAGCAGTTACCATGTCAATCCACCTGGTTGAGGGTCTTCCTCTCCTTCACTGACCCTCCACCCTTCCCAGCATCATGTCCTTCTCCAAAGAATAGCCCTGCCTAGCAACATGTCCGAAGTATATGAGGTGAAACCTCATCTTTTTTGCCTCCAAACAGCACTCCAGATGCACCCTCTCCAAGACATATCCGTTCATTCTCCTGGCCATCCATGGGATGTTCAGTGCTCTTCTCCAACACCACAGCTCAAAGGTGTCAATTCTTTTTCTGTCATCTTTATTCATTGCCCAGCTCTCAGATACATAGCAAGTAATCGAAAAGACTGTGGCCTGAATCAGACACATCGTAGTCCTCAAACTGACATCACATGAGGAGGAAAGGTCTGACAGCACGCAAGGTTGGGATCATCAATAAAACAACTGCTGTTGAGCTGACTCAGGAGTTTCAATGACTGGTTTTCCAAAAGATTGCCAGGTCTTATTTCAAAAGCACCTGTGGATAGACTTGAGCCTCCAGTCTCAGCAATGCCTGTGTTCACTGCACCACCGTGGCCCCAAGGTTGGTGGTATGGCTCTCATGCATTTTTAAGGAGAGACAGGTTGGTTCACCTTTCGGAGGGACAACCTGACAGCCTGTCTCAAGATTTAAAGGGCAGGCTCTGACCTCCAGCTGGGACAAAGATTACCAGAAGAGGGGTCGCTGCAGGGCTGTCTATAACAGCCTCTGGCCACTGAGTGGATTCTGACTCACAGGGCCCATGTGACAGCCTAGGCTGGAATCTTCACAGGCGCAAATGACCGTGAACGTCTCCCACAGAGCAAATACGTGGTTGGGAGTGACAAACTTGCACTGAGCAGAGGGCGCTTAACTACTGTGCCACCAGGGCTCCCTGTGTATATGATATACTTTTATATATATAATAGGAAGCGCCCATCTTTCTCCAATCGAGCAGCTGGTAGATTGGAACCATGTGCTTCTGGGTTGGCAGTGCAGCTCCTTGCCACCCAAGCTCCCTCTGGAAGGATTACCGTCAAGAACACCCCAAGCCCTATGGAGCAGCCCTGTGTTATTATTCAGGGCGGTTGTGAGCCGGAATTGACTGGCTCGCTCCTCACAGCTACAACGCTCCAGTCGGTGAAAGATCAGAACAGGGAATCAGCGAGCCCAGCGGCAGAGCTGCACTACGGTGGGCGAGTGGAGCTCCGCAGTCAGCTCCAGGGAGCGCTCTCCACAGGGAGGCGAGGATTCCAGGGAGCCCAGGAGCTGCTGACCCGAGCCCTCATCTTAACTTCCACAGAAACCACACCACCATTCACATACTACTTGCTAAGTGCTGCGGGAACACTACATCTAATGCATTATTTTTCACAAACTGCTACAAGGAAGATAGTCTCATTGCTCTCTTACAGGCATGGAAAACTGAGGCTTGGAGAGGCCAAGTCGTTTGCTTAAAGACACATTTAGAAGTGGACAGAGCCAAGATTTGAAGACACGTGACTCTAGGATTCTGACGCCTATAATCATGGTGACAGAGGTGGGAGGAAAAAAAGAGAACTGCTCCTCAGAGCCCCCTGCATCCCCCCTGGGCACACAAATTGCAAACTGGAAAGCTTCTAGGACACCAGGGGATGGATGTTAATATGCTATCAAGTGGCTGAGCCAGGGAGCAATAGGGAATGGTGAGGAGTGCGGCAAACAGAAGGGGTATTCCCATTTAAAGAGACAGCCACAACTCTGGGGTTTGGAGGGTGGTTTGAAGGCAGGGTCTTAAAACAATTGGTGCCTAATTGATGTTGGCCCAGCTGACTTTTTAAAAGAAGGCCAGAAATCTGAAAGGTTAGATTAGTTGGCAATTCGGAGGGAAAAACTGTGAAGGAGAAATTCATGCTGAGGCCATTATTTGTGGGCTCTGATCTGCTAGGACCCCAAGTCCCCACTGGAGAGAAATAAGAGCCCTTTGGGGCGAACGTTCACGGTGCCTCCCCACCGCAACGCCCAAGGAGCACGCGGCCCAACAAGCACACGGCCCCATGGGCACACGACACGGCCCAGGGAGCACGTGGCCCAGGGAGCACACGGCCCCGCGGGCACATGGCCCAGGGAGCACGCGGCTCAGGGAGCACACGGCCCAGGGAGCACGCGGCTCAGGGAGCACACGGCCCCGCGGGCACATGGCCCAGGGAGCACGCGGCTCAGGGAGCACACGGCCCAGGGAGCACGTGGCCCAGGGAGCACACGGCCCCGCGGGCACATGGCCCAGGGAGCACGCAGCTCAGGGAGCACACAGCCCAGGGAGCACACGGGCCCACGAGCACTCGGCCCAGGGAGCACAAAGCCCAGCACCAGCCAGGCCAGTGGCCGCCACCAGGCTCCCTTCTCAGATCAGGAGCAGAGCTGAACAGATGCTTCGGCCCAAAGTCAGTCTTGGGAAGTCAGAGGCAGGTAGCGTTGGGTGAGCTTCCTGAGCCGTCCAGGCGATTCTAATGTACATCCAGAGTTAGGACCACTTGAGGGAACTGTCACTTAGGGGGTGTGCGCTTGTCTGGGAAGAAAGCAGCGAACCTTTGACAGTAGCTGCCTCTGGAAAATAACATGTGGGGCCGTTTCTTATGATGTTTTTACTTGCTTGAATCTTTTATATGATTAGCATTGATCCTTTATCATCAGAAAGGAGAAATAAAATTATTTCTATTTTTGAGAAAAAAGAGGAGGGTGGAACAATGCCTTCCTTGACTATGGGATGTGTCTCAGTGTGAAACAAATGGGGGTGCAGACCCCTCTCAGCTTTTACAGCCTCTGTGACTCTCTTTGCCAGCACTGGACTGGCTGGTCTGATTGGGGGTGAGGGTGGGGTGTCCCAGGCCCTTTGATCTCTAGACCCCAAGTGGACGTGTAAGTATTCCTTGCACTGCTCTGAGAGAAGATGCAGGTAGTCAGTCTGACAGAAGCGCCTCCCTCCTGCTCTGCTGAGTACTTGGAGCACCGGCCTGAATGAGGTGCCTCAGTTTCCTTGTCTGGTCACCTGGGTTGGAAGACCCCCATCTTTGCAGAGGCCCAGTGCTGCCCAAACACTCGGTTGAGGCCTCTTGAGTGTTGTCAGGAGAAGAAGGGGGTGGTGTGTCACAGTGGGTGAGCCTGTGGGCTCCGGAGCCAGCCCCTGAGGCTCAGAGCTGGTTCTGCCACTTAGTTTCTGTGTGCCTCAGTTTCCTTTCTGCAGATGAGAGATAATAAGCCTGCCCGAGCGGGTTACTGTAGAGATTCAATGGGAGTAGCCACCCGAAAGGCTCAGAATGGCTACCCACGGTCAGCGCTCAGGAGAGGCAGCCTCTTCATGCCTTTGGAGCCTAACCTTGGGTACCTTGGCACCCCAGCTTTACTGCCAAGGAAGTTCGACAATGGGCTTTAATAACAACTGGTTCTTAACCTTCTCAAGGTCGTAAGTGGTGCTGAAAAATCTGATACAGTGATACAGCAGTATCCCAGGAAAGCAGGAATGTACGCTTATTACAGGAGTTGTAGAACGCCCACCAGGACCCCATGTACAGACTGCTTGACTCCTGCTCAGCACATCCTCTGCAGGGTCCCTGGGCTCTTAAGGAGACCCTGGACCAACACCCTGCCAAATCCAAGGGCTGCCGGCCTGAGGCTTTCTGGAAAGATGGAGGCAGCTCTTTCTGGAAAGATAAAAGCTGCACCAGGAACTCTGGCCATCTCTCTCTCCAGAGCCAGAACCGCTTGGGTTCCGGACTGTGGGCCGTGCCAGGAGGTAGCGCGCAGAAGAGTGGTACCTCCAGGTTGGAAGGAGGGATGTGGGCAACCTCGAAGACGCTCACGGCTGGCTCATCCCCCACCTGCAGAGGGCAGGTGGGCTGTGTTTCCGGTGTGGGCACTCAGCCAACAGGGCTGACTTCCCATTATGACCAGCTCCTAAGCACTGGCTTTGCAGCGGGCATCTGAGTGACTATCACTAAGCAAGCAATCATGAAAATGTAGAAGGGGCCACATCCTGGCTGTCCGTCCTTGATCAAGCGATTTAATGGATGCCCCCATTTATTCACCTATACAACTGAGATACTAATGGCACCTGCCCCATGGACGGGCTGTGAGGACCAGTGAGACAATATAGGTGAAGCCCTGAGACAGTGCCTGCCACACGGTGCTCGAGGGACAGATCTGGGATGGAAGAAGAGCAACCAGAGTGTCCCTTAGATGTCAGGAGGGCGAGACGTCATCTCGCACACTCTGGGCCTGTTGTCAAAAGGGACCAGTCCCGGAAGAGGACATCAAGCCTGGGACCCTTGACGAGCTGGAAGGCCACAGTGACTGCGGCAAAGGGACTGCGTGGGACAGATGCCGAGGACGCTGCAGGGTCGGGCAAGGATTTGCTCTGTCAGGAGCTATGAGTCGGAGCTAACTTGGTGGCACCTAACAGCATCCTCCTCCTAAGGAGCCGTGGTGGCATAGCAGTTAAAATGACTGACTGCCAACCAATAGCTCTGCGGTTCAAACCCACCAGCTGCTCCACATTTATTCTAGTTTGCTTCTGTCAATGATTACAGTGGCTTCTGAAACTATGGGGCAGTTCCATTCTGTCCAGCAGGGTCATGAGGGGTTGGGACCAACTTGAAAATAGCAGGTTTGGCTCAGCTCTATTGTGGTGCCTGGTATACCTCCAGGTGCCCAAGTAAAGCACTTGTATTTAGCTCGAGTACTGGAAAGTTCAACTCTAGCGACTAGCCTGGGCCAGGTTCTCTGGGAGCCTGTCCTGCGGTCCTTTTGCTCACCTAGATTCTTCCTATAGCAGCAGACAGTCTTGGGTACCTGGGCAGTGGACAGCCCAAAGCCAAAGGTCCTTGTTCTCCATTCCCCCAGGTTTCAGGGGAGGAGAATGACCGCGGGGGTCCTCCATACATTGGCGGTTCAACGATGACACTGATTCTCTGTAAACCTCAGGGAGGGCCACATGCCCACAGCGACTCCTAGCTCATCAACCACGCCATCCTGGCGCTTCTCATCCCTGGTCTTATTCTCTCCGGCCTCTCTTTTGTAGCAGGACCAGCTACCAGTTAAACTACCTGCACCCGAGCCCTCATCTTAACTTCCACAGAAACCACACCACCATTCACATACTACTTGCTAAGTGCTGCAGGAACACTACATCTAATGCATTATTTCTCACAAACTGCTACAAGGAAGATGTTCTCATTGCTGTCTTACAGGCATGGGAAACTGAGGCTTGGAGAGGCCAAGTCATTTCTTAAAGACACATTTAGAAGTAGACAGAGCCAAGATTTGAAGACACGTGATTCTAGGATTCTGACTCCTATATTTATGGTGACAGAGGTGGGGGGGGAAAAAAGAGAACTGCTCCTCAGAGCCCCCTGCATCCCCCCTGGGCACACAAATTGCAAACTGGAAAGCTTCTAGGACACCAGGGGATGGATGTTAATATGCTATCAAGTGGCTGAGCCAGGGAGCAATAGGGAATGGTGAGGAGTGCGGCAAACAGAAGGGGTATTCCCATTTAAAGAGACAGCCACAACTCTGGGGTTTGGAGGGTGGTTTGAAGGCAGGGTCTTAAAACAATTGGTGCCTAATTGATGTTGGCCCAGCTGACTTTTTAAAAGAAGGTCAGAAATCTGAAAGGTTAGATTAGTTGGCAATTCGGAGGGAAAAACTGTGAAGGAGAAATTCATGCTGAGGCCATTATTTGTGGGCTCTGATCTGCTAGGACCCCAAGTCCCCACTGGAGAGAAATAAGAGCCCTTTGGGGCAAACGTTCGCGGTGCCTCCCCACTTTACCTGCATTGTGCTCGTCCATGGAGAAGGCCTTGTTCTCCATGTAGGTCCGCGGGAGCTGCACGTCGTCCTCGAAGGCCGTCTCCCGCATCCTGGGCTGCGACGTGTCGAAGTAGTTGGGCGTGTTCTCCTGCGGGGCCGGGAGGATGGCGCAGTGGATCTCAGGAATGGCGTGGAAGATGACGAAGACCCAGCCGCTGGCCACCAGGGTGATGGCCAAGGTGGGGTCCCCCCAGGTCTCTCCCTGCCGCAGCTCGGCGTTGCCAAACAGGTACATGGTCATCCAGGCCACCCAGATGAGCACGGAGAGGAAAGCGGTGACCGCGATGCAGACGCCGTTCTGCTTCCACTTCTTGAACTTGCCACAGAGCGCGCAGAGGGCCAGCGCCAGGGCGGCCACCAGCAGTACCATGTCGTAGATGAGGGCCATCACGAAGTCCATGGGCTCGTAGGCGCAGGCCGGCTTGGCGTCGCGCAGCACCGTCAGCACCAGCCACTCGACGGCGATGATGACCTGCACCAGCATCAGGCACAGCGCCAGGCCCACCAGCTGCCAGCCCGACGGGCTCTTGCCGCGCCGCACCAGCCTGCGCACGCGCCACGCCTGGCTCAGCAGGCACGAGAAGCAGAGCGCGAACAGGACGCCCCAGAGGAAGCGGCGCACCGAGCAGATGGTCTCGTCCTCACGGATGATGAAGGCGAACGTCAGCCCGAACAGGCCCAGCGTGCCCAGCAGGAAGAGGAAGTGGAGGCCCACGGGCTCCCGCTTCTCCTTGTCCTTGATGAAGGGCAGCCGCACCAGCAGGATGAGCATCAGCAGCAGCGTGATCAGGGCGCCCGCCCCGGCCACCGCCTCCACCACGATGCCCCAGATGGTGTCCAGGTCGCACAGGGACACGTACTGGGGCAGGAGGTCCAGGCCGCAGCCCCGGGACGTGCTGGCGTTCTCCGAGGCCCCGGAGGCAATGACGAAAAGCAGCAGGAAGGCGAAGGCGTGGTGGGTTCTCATCTTTCTCGCTGATGTCAGGAAGGAAAAAGGAGGGAAACCGAGTCATTGCCCGCCTCTCGCTTTACAAACACCTCTTTAGGGGACTCCCTCATTGCAAAGCTACTAGCTCTGGTGGCCTAGTGGGTAAGGCGTTGTGCTGCCAAGCCAAAGGTTCGAATCCACCGGCTGCTCTGAGGGAGAAATAGAAGCAATTTCCTCTCCTAGGCTCTGAAAACTCGCTGGAGGGTCAGCTGTGAGTCAGTTCTGATCCCATGGCATGGAACAACAACACAGCCTACATGGAGGGACCCTGGTGATGCAGTGGCTTATGTGTCTGCTAACCAAAAGGTGGGAGGTTCAAACCTACCAGTGGCTCTTTGGGAGAAGATGTAGTAGTCTGTTTCCCTAACGCTATGAGCCAGCTCTGCTCTGTTTTATAGTCACCATGTTGTTGTTGTTGTTGTGTACCATCGAGTTGGAAACGACCCATAGCTGACCCTCAGAGGCAGTAAATCTCATGGGAGGAGACTGCCCATCTTTCTCCCATGGAGCAGCTGGTGGATTTGAACTGCGTACCTGCATCTGAGAGCCGGACAATGAATAAGAACGATAGAAAAAGAATTGACGCCGTTGAGCTGTGGTGTTGGAGAAGAGCACTGAACATCCCATGGACGGTCAAGAGAACAAATAAATAGGTCTTGGAAAAGGTGCAGCCAGAGGGCTCTTTGGAGGCAAGAATAATGAGGGTTCGTCTCACAGAATTTGGGCATGTTGCTAGGAGGGGTTGTTTCTTGGAGAGGAACATGATGATGCTGGGAAGGGTGGAGGGTCGGCAAAGGAGAGCAAGCCCCTCAATGAGGTGGATTGACATGGGGACTGCTGCAATGGGCTCGTGTATGTCGGAAAGTGTGAGGACGACACAGGATAGGACAGGGTTCAGATCTGTCGTTCATAGGGTCGCTATGAGTCATACTCGATGGCATCTAACAACAACCACTACCACCTTTGGTTTGGCAGAGCAATTACTCACCACTCGGCTGTCAGAGCTAACTTACAGTCGCTATAAATTAGAATCAATCCAACAGCAATGGGTATTTCAGCCCACATGATGCTTGTGGACACTTTAAGAGAAGGTACACCTTACTCCAGGCTATGCAGCCCCTCACAGAGTAGGGAAACCCACTGTAGCTCCCATTTGCATCTTTGGTCAGAGCCATGGACCTGTACAACTGTACAAAATAGCACTGCCCTTCACAGTCCCCTGTATCCACCAGTGACAAGCCCAAGTACTTCCAAGGACCAGGGGAGGTAATAGGGAATGGTGAGGAGTGCGGCAAAGTCAGACTTCCCCATTCAGAGGTGAGGGCCAGAGCTGCCAGGAGGACAACAGCCAGGAGTCCTTTCCCCATGTTAACAGAGTTCTGGTTCCTTAATCGACCAGGTGCCATCTGTAGGTGGTTGGAGGACAGGGCAGGAGAGGGCCTTGCTCCTCTGCACATCGTTCTGTTGCCAATGACTGACACTAAATGCCACATCTGACTTAATCAACACCCAGGGGGACTCCTCCCAATCACCCCAAATTTACCCAAATCAAACCCCCTGGTCTTTCATACACCCTGGCTCATGATAAGGCAGGGTTCAGAGCAGTTGCATGTAGGGTTGCTATGAATTACAGGTGACTCAACAGCAGGTAACAACAAGAACACAACAACTTCAAAAGATGAGGCCTGGTGGCGCAGGACCCATGTCCTCCCCCTGCAGACAAGGCAAGCACGGGGCTTAACCTGAACCTCACTCAAAGAATTTTGTCTTTGTCCTTGGTTCCTGAAATGCCTTCTAACATCTTGGGGTATCCCTTGTGATGGCTGGGTCTTTGATGAAAGTGGCAGACCACACCTGGCCTGCCAGTGATGTCACTTGGATGTGAGTTATGTAATGAGACTCCCCCCCCCAAGCACCCTGTTAATATAGTGGTTAAAGTACTCACAGAATGGCTGCTGGTTCTAATTGGCAGTCGGCTCCTGTAAGATTTACAGCCTTGGAAATGGGGCTGTTCCGCTCTGTTCTCTGGGGTCACTATGAGTGAGTCAGAATGAACTCAGAGGTGATGGCTTTGGTTTGGTTTAGAATGAAAACAAAAATATCTCATTGCTGTTGAGAAGGAAGCAACTGCTAGCTGACCCTCCAGAGGGTTTTCAGAGGCCACTGTCACATGTGAGGAAACCGCCCATTCTTCTGGTGCCACCTTTGGTGTTGCAGTGTGAACTCCCTACGACCTGCGCCAGAGCTCCCGCTGAAGGCTGTGGGCATCTGCTGGCTTCCTGGCAGGTGTCAGGCATCAGTGGAAGGCGCTGGGCCGGGAACCCTCTCCAGCCCCGCCCCAGGCATCCCTTCATTTGTATCTTTTTTGTCTGTAAAAACTGTGAAGCCCACTTTCGGTGGGTTCTGAGTTGTTTTAGCAAATTGCTGAGCTCCAGGGAAACGCTGGAGCCAGGATGTCAGAAGAGAGGGGGGCTAAGGACCCCTACACTTACAGAAGTGAGGAAGGGCTGAGGACCCCAGCATTTATAGAAGTGAGGGGGCTGAGAACCCCTGCATATAGAGAAGTAAGGGAGCTGAGGGTCTTTGCATGAGGACCCCTGCATTTACAGAAATGAAGAGAGGCTGAGGACCCCTGCATATAGAGAAGTAAGGGAGCTGAGGGTCTTTGCATGAGGACCCCTGCATTTACAGAAATGAAGAGAGGCTGAGGACCCCTGCATTTACAGAAGAGGGGGGCTGAGGACCCCTGCATTTACAGAAGTGGGGGAACTGAGGATCCCTGCATTTACAGAAGTGAGGGCGGCTGTGGACCCCTGCATTTACAAAAGATGAGGGCTGAGGACCCCTATACTTACAGAAGTGAGGAGGGCTGAGGACCCCTGCATTTACAGAAGTGAGGAGGGCTGAGGACCCCTAAAGTTATAGAAGTGAGGGGGGCTGAGGGTCTTTGCATGAGGGCTCCTGCATTTACAGAAATGGGGGGGGCTGAGGACCCCTGAATTTACAGAAGTGAGGAGGGCTGAGGACCCCTGCATTTATAGAAGTGAGGAGGCTGAGGACCCCTGCATTTACAGAAGTGGGGGGGCTGAGGACTCCTGAATTTACAGAAGTGAGGGGGGCTGAGGGTCTTTGCATGAGGGCTCCTGCATTTACTGTGGGGACAAGAGGGGAGCTGGCATCTGGCCAGCAGGTGGGAGGGGTCAGTACTGTGGGAGTGTGTGAGGTCCTGTGTCATTAACTCCGACCTCACTCAGGAGGTTAGGGTCTGAGGGGGACATGCTGCCTGTGTACCTGGCATCAGGGCAGACATGGAGCAGCGAGGCCCGTACATGGGTTTAAAATCTCAACTGATCCTTAGACTTCAATGTGACAGCTGGATTCTGCCTTCTCAACTCAGCCGGCAAATTAGGCTGAAGATTCACTGTGGACCTTGGCAGGTGGCCCAAGATCCAGCCACCGTTTGCTGACGTGGCCCTGCTCACACGCCATGGCCTGCTGCCCTGCCCACACGCATCTGTGCACTTACGTACTTAAATGGCCCGCTGAGCCCTTCAACTTGACTTAGAAGGAAACTTAGCACTTGATCCTCCCCTCTTAAAGTGTTTCACTTGCATGTATTGCCTTCAGAAAAAATGTCCTAGACAGTGTTCTCACAGGCCCTGTCAGCACCTTGGGAACGGAAATGGAAGAAAAGTTGTGTCGGAACATAATGCCAACTGCCCACTGACCCTGTGCAGAGACCCAAGCAAGATTCCCCCAGACGTTTCAGCAATGACAAACAAACTCCCCCACAGACCCTCTGGGTCATGCAGCCAAACCCATCCTGAGAGTGGGAGGGAAGGTGGTGGGTGGGAATGTGTTTCTGGAATCTAGACCCCACCCACCTTCTGATGGACCCCTAATCCAGTGGTTCTCAAACCATGGGTGACTTCTGACAACGTCGCCACCTGGGGGATAGCATCTGGCAACAGTTAAATGTTCGGTCACTAACGGAAAAGCTGGCAGTTCAAACCCACCCACAGATGCCTCAGCAGACAGACCTGCTGATGGGATTCCACAGGTCACCGCCTTAAAAGCCACATGGGTTTTTGTTTTGCAACATACGGGGTCACCAGGAGTTGGCTTCAGCCCAGGGGTGAATGTGCCGGTCTGGGTATTTTTAGATGTCATTTTTGGCTGTTACAATTGCTACTGGCATCTAGAGGGTGGAGACCAGACATGCTGGAAAACATCCTGCAATGTGAAGGACAGCCCCCCCACACCACTGGGTGATGCATGTGGACACATACATCAGCATTCTGAGAGCGAGGGAGATTGTCCAGACACTCAAGGGCTGCATTGCTGGGAGGGTGTTGGGAAACCAGTTCTGGGCTTCTCAGTACCCCTTGTCCCTTCTTGCAAGAACGTGGCTGCCTTCTCCTCTGGAGGAACAGCCTCCACCCACTTCCGTAAAGGGATCCCCTCTGTCCAAGCCTGGTTGAAAACCAGAACTGTTTCTCCACCCCTCGCCCTTCCTGGTTGGCTCTCCAATCATAACAAGCACCCCAAGGGGATGATGAAAATGCCAGGCTTCTGAAGTGATGCAGAATTCTTCGAGCCCTCGCCCAGGTCTCTTGCTCCAGCCTCCTCCTTTTGGGCACGGGATACAGACATGCTGGCTTTCCACTCTCATTCTTGAAGACAGAAGCCTTCTCATCCTCCTGGAACAGCTGCTTCTTAAGACCCAGGATCCAGGTCTCTCTTCCCATTTCTGGAAAGAGCTCCTGGATTTTTTTGCTAGAAGGCCTCCCCTGAGTTCTTGCTCCCAGCTCACACCTGGCCACTCCGAGCATCTGTCCCACTCATTGGTACAGTGATTGGTGCACAGGCACGTCAGACCTGTGAGAAGTATCTTATCTGTAGGATCCTTGCTAGAATTAACTGGAACGAGAGCTTCCTTTTCTGCTGGAGCTGATAAGCTAGAAAGGCACGGGAGAAGG